ACTATGATCACCCACTTAGATGAATTCTCGGACTGTCCCAACATACCCAGGTTTTGACCCCCTCTAAGGATCTCACTGATTGGCATATCAAAGACAACCCAATCTGACACCTAGTGCAGTATCATAATCAAGTCTAGGGGTCAGGTGTAATATTCCAGTTTCACCCATCTATCTCCAAGGTCCAGGGCAATACTGGAATTCTGGTCCGGTTCAGGGTTTCAAGAAAACCTACACTGCATGTACCTCAGGTCTCACCCTGGCAGCTGAGATAGGCCAGATCTATCCAACGGCTGTGAAGATTCTAAACTAACATGAGTCTCATACATGTCCAGTTTAAGGGTATTACACAGAAACACACCATAATAAMAYGAATCAARYATGTACWTTATTCATTTACATTAAATGTCATAATGTACATCATTCTGATTGGAGCTAAGGGCTTACAAAGTCTAACAGAAACAGCATACCAAGACCTAGAAATTTCTTAAGCTTCAAGGTGGGTTATCTTAGGGGCATGCATGAATTGACTAAGGACATCCACAGCATAAACAAGCCTTTGAAACTGCTTTACATCATTGACAAACTCACCCTAGCAATCACCTAATTTGTGATTAGGATCAATAGGGGAATTAGCTGGTTTCACTCCCAATTTTCCTGCATTGTATAACAGATCTAGGACATATTTTCTCTAGGAAATGAAGATTTCCTTTTGTAAGCAGGCAACATCAATTCCAAGAAAGTATCTTAAAGGACCCGAATCTTTCACCTCAAAYTGAGAAGAAAGAAACTTTTTCAACTTTTGAATTTCATCTTTCCAATCACCAGTGATAATTATATCATCAACATATATTATCAAGGCTACAATTTTACCTTCCCCTCTCTTCACAGTGTATGGTCAAATTAGCACTACTTATAGCCTTTCTACTRCACAACTACATGAAATCTGTTGAACCAGGCCCTTGGTGATTGTTTTAGGCTATATAAGGACGTCTTCCACCTGCACACTTTCTATTCATTGCCTTAAGCCCGAAAACCAAGAGGTTGCACCATGTACACTTCTTCAAGATCACCATTTAGGAATGCATTCTTGATTTCTAACCGATGAAGGTCCCAATCAAGGTTAGTGGCTAAAGAGAAAAGTCTCTACATAATCTACTCCATACACTTGGGTAAACCCTTTTGCCACCAATCGAGCATTATACCATTCCATTGTGCCATTTGCCCTATGTTTTACCGTGAAAACCCACTTACATCCAACTAGTTCCTTCCCTTCAGGAAGATCTACTAATTCCCCCGTAGGGGTGAGCAAAAAAAACTGAACCAACCAAAATCGAACCGAAAAGTCAGTTAACCGAACCGGTTGGTTCGGTTTCGGTTCGGTTTCGATTAACCATTTAAAAAAACCGACGGTTAACCAAACCAACCGATATATATACAATAATATATATTTATATAATATTATATATATTATATTATATTTTTTATTTATTTTTGAAAATCGAATAAACAATTTCGACAGTTTAAGAGGCTTTCAGACTTTCTCTTTTTGAAAGTTTCAATTTGAAAATTGAAAGTTTGGCAGTTTGCCTCTGCTAGAATGCCAGACTGCCTCTGCCAAAGTGCCAGACTGGAGACTGCTAGTCTCAAAAATCGAAAATTTTAAAGCTTTTCTTCTTTTGTCTCTTCGAAAAATTTCAAGCATTTATTTTCTTGTCTCTTTTGTCTCTTTTACAATGTAGACCAGATCTTTACCTTTAGTTAGAAGCATTGAACGATCTCTTGCAATGAAGAATAATGCTACCTTTAGAAGCATTGAACAATCTCTTGCACTAATACCCTCTTCAGAACTTCCCCTGCACCAGCTCCACGAGCGCTACCTTTAGAAGCATTGAACGATCTCACCCGTGAATCATCACTGTTACATGAATCATCACATCTACTTGACTGAAACGCCACTTGCTTTATGGCGGCGACCGCCGAAAACGCTGACTGGCTTTTTCCTAGGTGCTTACGAACCACTCACAAGCCCACCGATATATTCACTTGTTTATAAAGCAGGGGCTTAGCATTATTACTCGTGGRTGTCTGGGTCTCCTCTACTTCTCCCTCTGTGATTGTTGTTTGCCGTCGTGGGAGACGACACCGGTGTTTCCAGCTTCATTTTCGTCGCCGCCGATGACGATGCTGCCTTTCTCGAGCCCAAGCTTAGATG